ATTTATAATGGAAGTGAACAAAAAATGTACTTAAACTTCGCAAATAAGTTTGGAATACATTTTTAGTACCTTTCACCTCCTGAGCAAACCATCTATTGCTCATATGATATAAATTTATTAATTAAGTACTAAACCAGTACTAAATGTTTTGTACAATGTGCTCCAATAGGAAATACTTTAATTAAAAAAGGAGCATATAGTTCCTATCCAATAAACTGGTACTGTATAATCTGCATGTGGTAGCAGTGTACTAAAACTGTCAAAATAGGTTTTTAATTTATTTTTGGTACATTTGATGTTTTTTTCCAAAACGTAAAGGAGATATGAATAACAAAGTTTGTACTAAAATGCCCAAAATATCTTCTAACTTTGCCGAAATAACATTTGAACGTTTACTTTAAGCTAACACTAATGGAAACAAATATTATGAAAGAGTTTAGTTTCGTTCAAAATCTAGCAATATTAAATAAATTTAAGTCTTAACATATTAATTGTATTGTAATCTAAAGTGACAAAGAAGGCGAAAACTAGTTACATATTTTATATAAACACATATTTCAAACTATATACATATATATATTTACATTTTACTATTCTATTTCCAAGAAACTTTAAATGAAATAATAATAACTGCTTAAATCCCTCCAAATATTTTACAAAAAGCATAGAAACTGCTAAAGTCCACCCCTCGAACAGTGAAAATCATTAGCAACTCCAATTAAGTACCACGCACACTTACACAGACACATATACAGACAATAACTGGAAATTAACACAAGTTCAGCTCCGCTCAAGCCACTACACTAACCAACAACTGCTCTTTAAAACATGCCACTGCAGCCAACCAGCTATTCACACCCAACAACTCATGCAGTGGCATTAACTGACAACGCTGCAGGCCAGAAAAAACTGCACTAAAATCGTAATTAAATAACCGCAAAAGCATTTGCTTGTAAAACTTTCGAAAATGCAAAGCACAAAACAAAAATGAAAACAGAAAAATGGAAATTAAATAAGTTCCATTCGTAAAGAAGCCGCGGCGTCGTTATGTACCTGACTAATGGAACGAGCGCTTGCATAACTTCACTACTATTCGCCGGCATGCTGCCTGTCCTTGGAGCTTTCACAAGCGTAACATAATCGAATTAAATGCTTAAAGTGTCAACAAGTGGCCAATGGCAATGCCAATAGCATGCCAGACCGTGACCATGCAGTTTTCTTGGTTGCCGCCACATCCCCCACCCGCCTACACACTTCCACGACAGGCAATACCCCTCCGTAACGAAAACAATCACTGCCGCCCACTGTGTTATAAAACAAATAACTCAACACTTCGTTGAGTGATAAACTGCTGCAAGGCGCTTTTTATGAGCCATATCCATATCCATTGGTATATGTACATACATATATAACGGTGCGTGGCGGAACTTTAGCGAAATGCAATAAAATTTGCAAGCAATAAACACTATATTTATGTTTATTAGTTGCAGTCAATAAAAAATATATGAACAACAACATAAAAGCCATTGAAGCGCACTACGGTTGCTTGTGGATCTTTGAAGCTCGCTCGGGGCATAAAGCAATTTTTAGGTGAAACTCTGTAAAGTTTCAGCAAATAATCTTTGGCATTGTCGCTTAATTTCTTCCCACATTTAAATAATGGTGGAATGTATGTAGATATAAAAAATAACAAATTTACGCCGAAAGCTTTCAGTTACGCAAATCACACCAATTTGTTGTGATTATTGTCAATTTATTGATTTGAAAGTATTAATCACCATGCAAGTTCACTTTGTTGTCAAAGCTTTTACATAAACGATTGGGCTTTTAAAAGCTTCCACTTACGAACAGTCACAAACAACTTTGGTTCCGTCAATGAAACTGTTTTAAAAATATTGAATATTTCAATTAAGAATCCTGTCAATATCGTAAGCTTCACTCCAGAACCTTTTTCAACAAGCTTCAAAACCGATTTTAAATATCAAATAGACGCAATTAAATGAAATTTGTTTGCTAAGCTTTCACCTAAACGATGACGCTTTTTCTCAAACTTTTCAAAGCTTTTAGTTACAAACAGTCACAAAATTGTATTGTTTAATTAATGAAAATTTTTTAAAAATAGCGCCCACACTTAATAATTCATTTTATAAGCTTGTCATTATCGCTAACTTTGCTCCTCTCTAAGAGATTTTCAAACAAGCTTCAAAACCTGAGATTATAAAGCCAAAAAGGTGTGAAAAACTTTGATTTCAAGGCAGCCTTTAAACATCCAATTTCATTATTCGCTGCAAAACCTCTTACACTTACTTACTAAAACGAGCTTAAAGCTCTTAAATGAAAATGAAAATTAGTGGCAACTTCCAATGCAAAAATTGTCAAAGATAATAGAAATTTATTTTAGTGTGCTGTTTTTTTGAATTGAACTGCTTTGCATTTCACATAACTATGGAGCATTTATGTTGAGCTTTTCGGGGCTTTTGATAGTAAAAAGTCACATACATGTTTTGTTTCATTAATGAAACCCTCATATTGAATTATTTTATTATATTATTATTTATATTTGTACGAATAAAAGTTTTCCATTATCGTGAACTTTGATTCTCTTTAAACGCTCTTTAAACAAGCTATAAAAGCTGAAATGATAAAAAAATATATACATATATATATGAAATTATATTTCTTCGCTGCAAAACATCTTATACTTACCTTACAAAAGAACGAGAAAATTATTTCAGTTTTTTCAACGCTTAATTCTTTGGAGTTGAACTACTATCATTTTGAGCTTAAAGCTTGCTTCTCAATCTCTTTTGTATTTGACGAAATAAAGTAAAATATATTTTTCAGCATATTTTAACCATATACATAGTATATCCCTTTTTTTATTCATTTATTTTTTCCCTGTTTAAAGCGTAACATACCAAAAACTCTTTGAAATCAATATATGTATGTACAAAAAAATAATGATCTGAAAGCTTTCAAAGCTTTGTGTATAATTCTTGAATCTAATCGAAACCTCATTCAAACGTGCCTGGTGCATTGAAATATTACCCTTTATACACTTGGACTAGCTCATGACTTATATTATTGTGCTCCCAGCTTTCAATAAAAATTACAACAAACATTTGTTTTCAACAAAATTAATACAAAGATTTCTAGCAGCATTTTGGCTATGCGGTTAAGCGAGCTTTGAAAGCTCATTTCTAACCTTAAGAAAATCACATGAAGATCAATTTGTTGCTTCTGTACTAATTAAATGCTTTCGATAAAATTATATTAAATTTATAAATTTTAACACATTACCGATGTTTTTTAGTAACAATAGTTTTGTGGTGTTAGCGCACCCTCTCCTTTTTATTATATTAGTTATAGTGATATATTTATTTACATCTAGTATTTTAAAGCAAATAAGTGTTTTTTACAAAATATTTTCTCTCTATTTTTTTTCTTCATTTTTATATAATATACTAAATTTCGCCAATTTGCCACTGAAACATATACCTAATTTGCCGTACAGCTCATACGGATCGTCGTGTGCTTTATCCACAGTGTCCGGTGCTAATTAATGGCATTTTTTATACAATTAGGTAACAGAAAATCGTTAATAATTGAAACAAATTATATCGTTTCTTTTCCTAATTTGCGGCTTAAAAACTTTATGCCTACAGGTTAAGCTTATTTGTGGCAGGAGCTTACATAGCATATGAAAGCTTGGACTTAGTGCATATACATTTATGCAGTAGCTTATATATACATACACATAACTCCAATAAACTCAAGACTCTTCACATTTTCCTTGCTCCTCCAGAAAAGCTTATGCGTGCTTTTTATCATCTTTATTCCAATAAATACCTATTTAGTATTTGTAGAACTGTGTTTGCAAAGCTTTTTGTTTTCCTACAAAATGAATGGAGTTTATAATATATGAGAGACAAAATAACTTTGAAATCGGAAAAGCTTTACTTTAATTTGTCAGACTTTTTTATAAATCTTAAAGCTTTAGTGTTAGGACTGTGAAACCGCAAATCTTTTAAATAACCAAATTTTTCACATAAATTTAAAGCTCTCGTACTTTTTTTGCTTTTGTAAAGTGAAAGCTCAATTTTCTATACCTTAAAATTTAAACTTAAAGCAATTTTAATTGTTTCCTTAATAATACGAAAATTACTTTTTTTAAATTTGTAGAACTTAAAATTTCACAAAAATTTTTGCGAAAATTTCTTGTGTGAAAAGCTAAATTCTTAAAATTGCCAAATCTTCCGAATAATTCTTAAGGTTCCATTGCTTAAAAATGTGAAATCTCAGTTTTTCTTTACGCCAAAATCACGAAAAAACTTAAAGCAATTATACATTTTTTTGTTAATACTTTAAGCTTTAAGCTTGCAAAAAATATTATCACAATTTTTTTCTCGTAATTTCCAAACCATTTAATATTTTCGTTCATATTCGAAACTGAATATTATAAACGCAAAAACCATAATCCTCTACAGCATTTGAGCTTTGCAAGCTTTCTCCTCCAAAAATTAAACATTTTGAGTACTCAGCTTTAGTTTTGCGAGGACAGAAACACAAGTTACTATGAACATACAATTACACTTACTTTAGAATATCTAAAGCTTAGCTTTCAGTTATTAAAATTCCCAATATTGTATTCGTACTGTCCCAACCAAAATTATCAAAATTGGGGCGCCGTGTTAAAAAAGCTTCACTTTCAAATTAAAAACCACGCACTCTCACCGATATTTAACATAAAAATAATTTTTTTTTTAGACAAGAATACCTAAGCTCGACATTGTTTTACAATTATTTTGTATACGTAATATTCGTAAATTTTACTCAAATGTAAAAACTTGTATATATTTTCTTTCTTTTTTCTCTTTCTCTTTTTTGTATATTTCTAGTGCCGCCTATTAGGATATGTAACTGTTACTGCATAAGACAGCCCATTAGTTCATAAGATCACTAAAAACAAATTAAAAAACTGAAATTAAATCAATCGATAATCAAAATCAAAATTCGTTTATCAAAATTGAAGTAAATTCAATTTTAGTCAAAGCAAATAAATCGAAAGTGTTAAGACTTCAAAACATTCCTTAGTGAAAATTTACAACAAAAGCACTGCAAAACAAATTGAATAATTGCGAACACTTGCAATCACAAAAAAATTAAAAGAAAGCATTTAATTGAGTTACTATCGAATTGCCATCTGCAAAATGACGAAAGCTACAGCAAACGAAATCAAAAGCAAAAACGTTCAAAAAGCGTACGAAATGCGCACAAAACAGAGAAGTGAGTTGAAAAAGTGAGTTGAATAGCTTTTTACTTGCAACTACAAACACAGAACTTGCAATTATAATCATGTGAAAGCTGCAAGCTTACGCTTGTGCTTTCAAGCTTTAAAGCTTGCCTTATTTACATGCTTACCAATACCGCCATACGTTTACTATACTCTTCTTCTACTTGAGTTTTCCAAACTCAACTTTTAAGCTTTGCGCTACTTTTAATATGAAAATCAGCTTTCTTATTTTACACTGATCTGTTAACGGTACTTGAATGGTTATTGGTTATGGTTACATTTTTGCTCCTTTATTTTTTAATTTTTTTGATATATCTAGTTGTGCTTTTGGCCTTGTTCTACACTGGTTCGACGCCTAAATGTATGCCAAAGGCTTTGTGTGTGTTTATAAGTTTGCAGAAAAATGGATTCCTCATATTTAAAAAATAATGTATTTTGCGTTTCACTATATTTGAAAGAAAAGTAAGCAACATACTAAAGCTTAGCGATTTAGCCTTTATTTAAGTTCGCTTATATAAGCTTATTTAGAAATCTAGTTAACTTTATACTCTCATATAAAATATTTATACCATGAAAAGCTCATAGTTTTAGTTTTTATAAATACTAACCAGACAGCGTATATTTTTTGGTAGTATAGAAATATGAAAATTTGTTCGACGATTGTTATTTAACACTGAGAAAGCTTACGTTATTTTTATTGCTTCAGCTTTTCAGTGCATTTATGTCACACGTAGCTAATTTTTGTTTAACTCATGCCTTATTTAGAATGGTAAAAACATATAAAAGCTCTCAACGAAAGCTTTCGTGCAATTCATTTTTGATGTCACTTGTGAAAGCTCGTTGTTGCAAGACGATTGCTTTAAAGAAAGTACTGTTATAGTTCTTCAATGTATTTAGAAACACCGAGGGCTTTCAATTTAAAATCATAAAATAACTCAATATTTTTCAAAATTACTAAAATTGAAAATATTTGTTAGGAACAATATTTATTTATTAAAAATGTATTAAAATGATATTGTGAAATCAAGTTCACTAAGTGCAACCTGAAATTGGATTTCCAAAGATTTTCGTCAGCTCAAGAGTTTAATTTTCATTATTACAAAACGTACAAGGCTTAAACTGAGAGTTTTAACCTCAGAGCTTTTACACTGATGACTTTTAAAAGTTCCGTTCCCTTAAAAAGCTTTTTAGAAAGCGTATTTGCTATATTTTTCAGATATAATTTTGAAAAAGTATTGAAGCTTTTGTGCATCATTTTTGAAGAATAGTTAAGGACACTGACTTAAAAGGCGGCAAAGCTCAGATTATAATTTGCATTTTCAATATTAAAAACGGTACAGGTCTAAACTCAAAGTTTTTACGCTTACAACATTTAAAGGTTCCGTTTTCTTTACTAAACTTTTCGAAAATCTCTCTTCAAAGAAATAATTTATTTTGAACTTCAGATATGCTTTAACTAACCGATATTATACTACTGAGCATACTTCCTTAAATAGCCTTTAAACACACTGACTTATAATAGTGAAAAGCTCATTTCTATGCATGAGCTTTCATATTTAAAATATTTTTTTATGAAACAACTATTTAAAAGATAACGATTATAAAACCAGCAAACAAAGCTTTCTAACTCTCTAGTATAAACTGTTTATTACTTATGTTTTTTTCACAAAGGACTGTACATAACAGTAACCAGCTAACCTAAAAGTTGCTTTCAAGAAATCAGCTTAAAAGCTCTTGAGCTTTTATTTTAGTAGCAAAGTTATATTATCTATTCACGCACTTATAACCTCAATAAACTTTAAAATGAAATATAAAAAAATTTAAAAATAATATATAAATTTCTGCGAAGAAAGTGAAATAGGTGATAATTCTCAAAATGTTTACTTTTAAGTAGTCCGCATAAAAAGCCCTCCATTGAACGCCTTTGACGAATCTCTGGGAAACCAATGCACAAAGCTTTCAAGTTATGGTCGTAAAAAGCTCTCTATTTAACATTTTTAACGAGATATTACTACACAGAGCTTATAAACTTTGTCTATGAACTTTTTAATATTTTACGGATTTTTTTTTTCAAGAAATATAGTAAGTTTCTAAGCTCGCAAGCTATTAACTAATAACACATTTTTTTTAACGTTCATTCATTGCTTGACTTTAATATACCATCATTTATTGGTAAATATTTCTAATTATTCCGCTTAACACTTCAAAATATTATGAATAATTACTGACGAAATAAAAAAAAATAAAATTTATGCGCTTTTTCAATGCATTAATAATTACGCGTCGCAGCAACACAAACTTCAATTCTATACAACCAAATTAATTAACGCTTTATCGTAATTATTTTTAGTACTTATTGCGCGCTGTCAAAGCGACATTATTCAATATACATACATTTATTATGTTTATATATAGACTTTTATATGGAAGTAGCAATTTAAATTAGCAAAAAAACTTTATGCAAATGCGAAAAGTTATTTCAAAATGACATATAGCTTATACTATATATTAAGTAACAGCGCTAACCAGCCGGAGGTATACGCGAAATGTAGCAATTTTAGTACGAGAGTGTCGCTCAAAAAGCTCCAAAAGAAGCTGTTGCCATAGTAAATGCCCAGCGTCGAGCCGTAACTACAAAATTGATATTGAAATTATTAAACATAAACATTTATATTTACATTAAAAAACAACAGAAATTGTATTTGTATTTGTATTTACATAACGCTATTATTGATTATCTTTCTATTATGTATGTATTATAGACTCATAGTAAACATGTGATACTAATTTTTGCTCTTTTTTCTTTCTTTTTTTCTTCTCTTCTCATTTTTTTGTCTGACCAAAAACAAAAATATATATTTGTATTTGCAAAACCAAATGCAAAAAATTGCAAAATTTTGCTAACGAAAAACCAAAACGACGAAAATGCGCCAACAAAAAATATTTGATTTAATGTTATTTCGAAAAAATATTGGATTATTGGATTATTTTTCGCTGTTATGCGCTGCTCGAAATTATTTCCGTTACTTTTCCGTTCTTTCCTTTTGCCAAATATACCGTATTTGTTTGACTGATTGGTTATTTGATTTGTTGTAATTTCGTACAACTTGTTTTGTGCCCGCATCCGTATTGAAATCGTAAATCGGTACGTAACGTATTTGAAACGCATCCGCATTCGCCATATGCATTGCCATACAATAACAACAACAACAACAACTACTACAACTACACATAAAATCTAATTATTGTTGCACAAACGTACAACAATAATCGTAATAACAACAACAACAAATCGTAATAGTTACTGGACACCCTCCCGGTGTGCCAAGATTTCAATAGATCTATGTGCAGTCGGTTAAATTGTAGATTCGTTCATTTAACTGAAGGTAAGTGCATGCTATTGCTACTTTCTTTTTAGTTCCTAGCTAGTTTTAGTATTTTTCATTTAGTTTATATTTACCGTTATATTTTTTTAGTAATTTTTTGCGTACCATTTATGTGCATATGATCGTATATTTAGCTAACTGCACACACGACACGCCTACCCAGTGCGAACCACATATGATTTGCTTTAGATTTCAGCTGCTTTATACTTATGTAACTTTAGTGTACTTTCTGAGAATTATAGCTACTGCTTTTATAGTAAAAGTATAGTGGTAAAAACGAACCGTCTTCACTTATTTCAGTTAAGTTTTCATTTTGTAATATTTGGCATTGAAAAAACTTGCTGAGCGTTTTAATTAGCGCTCAGTTAAAAATATAAAATACACGGGAAAAATACAAAAAAACATAATAATAAACAAAAATACCAAAAAAAAAATTTAAAAAATCCAAAACAAATATGAAAAAAGTTGCTAAAAATATAAAAGCAAAGTCTTTCCCGAAATCTATGAATATATCTTATAATGGCTTCCTAATTTCTATTTTATGTCAACATTTCCATTACAAAAATGTTTATAAAACTAAAAAATATAAATTTTAATTATCTATAACAATTATTATAAATACATTTGTTCTAAGAAAGCTAATTTTACTGAATTAGGCAGGCAGTTTCAAAATTCTGTGACTTACTGTATAATATTTCCTACTTACTCACTTTTAACTTAAAATTCAGTAACTTAACGTACCTAACCTAGAATCTGCCTAATAACATTGAATACAACGCCGCTACTGTCGCTTATCAGCTGACAACAACAACATATTTATATACAGGGACAAGTGCATATTAATATTAAAGATATCACTGAGAAAAAGTGATATGCTTAAACATTTTTAAACAACCTTTGTAAGGTATCTAATTTTGTAGGCATTTCAATATCATGCCAGACAATTGTAGACTTTTTTCTGATTAGAACGAAACACCTGTTAACGAAATGCTTGTGAATTGAATGTCAGTAAATTTGACGCAAAGAAAGTCTATCCTGTAATATTGTGAGATAATGAAGACCGGAAATATGTCAAAGGACTGAAGAAGAGTACCACATTTTTTGACTTATGTGATGGAAATGTGATTGAAATGAGAACTTACTAAGAACAGCGATTTTACCTATAACCTAAGCCTTCGAAATTTTATAAATCAATATTATACTATGTTGGATTAGGATAGGCAAGAACTCTTTAAAATCAATTAGCCAAAGCAACCTGATCTGTTCCTTGACTGATTACTTACGAACAATACTTCCATATATTGTGCTCAATTCTTCATGGTCCTAAAAGAAGACTTTTACTATACTACTGAGAAGTTAACAACAAATCGCTTGATTACAACCGAATCAGTTTACTGATTTAAAGATTTTGGACCTCAGAAGGTCATTTGTCGTACATACGTCTAAGATTGATAGTATTTTAAAGCGGGTAATAATATCTGTAAATAGTTCCTGTGTGCGTTTCCCTCTGAATTAAACGAAGGCTGCTAATAGTATATGCCACAGTTTCGACACTATTTTCGAATTATCACACAGTTCCAAACCTTCCTTGAAGTATTTACGATTTTCGATTTGAAAGATCTAAGTAGTCTTGCTTTAGCGTCCAGCTATTTTATGTATCGGCTAAAAATGCTTATAGTGTAATAGGGAAAGTCGAGTAGCTTATAATATATAGACTTTCATAGATCTAATTCAAACAAGAATTCACCATGACTAAAAAATTTTGGACCGTTGGTCTTTATTAACGCTATATAATATATATGTATACCATAATATACATATGTATGCCTTTATGTAAATTTATATAAAATGAATTAACAAATTCGGTCTCAAATTTTAAGCTCAATTAATTATACATACATTTATAAGATAAAAAGTATTAATTATATATATTACTATTTTAATAACCAGCACCAACACACACAGTTATTAATGTTTTATTCTCTCCTCTTACACGCATACACGCACACGCACACTCACACCGGCAAAGAAATATTATATAAATATACATATATTTTATTTGTAAATGATTTGTAATACAAAAATAAGGAGAAAAGAATGAATATAAAAATTCCCTAATCTATCTTTTATGCATTTTTCTCGTTTATGTTTCAACCACAATTCGTCGAACCGTTAGATGACAAGGTTGAAGTATGTGATCAACGTGTGGCTGTGTGTCGCGATCATGCTAACGGCCAATGCAGACGTAAGCAATGTAAATATTATCATATACCGATCGTTTTGCCGCCGGCGAATGTTATGGCTGCCATCATTAATACGAATAACAATAACAGCATGCATAGCAACAGCAGCAGCAGCATTAGCAGCAATGCAAGCAGCCATGGCAGCAGTAACAACAACAACAACCACAACCAGAACAATCAATTGCATACAATCTCACAGCAGCAGCAACAGCAACAACAAAAGCAAGCACATGAACAGTATCAGCAGCATGCCAAGTCAGCAGCAGCAGCAGCGACAGCGACAGCAACGACTGGCATTGCCACCAACTACAATAATAATTTGATAATAATCGAACCGCAGCAACATCATCTTCACCAGCAACAACAACAACAACAACAACACTACAATTATCTACACAACAACAATTACACGACCACACACTACAGCCCGAGTAATAGCAGCAGCAGCAGCAGCTCCGCAAACAACAATAATAACAGGCACGTCACGCATACGATCTACCAACAACAACCAGCCACTTTCCATCTACCACACTTCACCTGCCATTCGCCCTACTCACCATCCTCAGCATCGTCATCGTCATCCTGCTCCGTTGCCACCTCTCCGACAGCGTTCACCTCGGCGACCGCAACACTGCCGACGACCTCCACGGTGACCGTGCCCACTGCTATTGCCACCATGCCAGCAGCACAGCCACCACCACCACATGCTACTGCCTATCTGAAGGCGGCGCCGTCGCATCTCACCGCCTACGCCAGCAGCGGCGCTTATGAATTGACCACAGGCGCGCCCACATTGTTGCTCAGTAGCGATTACAATTCAAATTGCATTCCAATTTTGGCAGCACATCAACAGCAACAACAACAACCACAATCACCGTTGGCCACAGCAGCATCGTATATTTATCCAGCGCATCATCCACAGCATAGCGCCGCCGCTGCGCAACAACATTTAATGAAATACGCCGCAGCCGCCGCGGCACAGGCGGTACAACATCAATTTCACTATGCCGCCGCCCCCCAAATACTCACCGCGGCGACGCCGCAACATATGCTAGCGACAGCGGTGACATCGGCAACTACCGCGCCACATACGCATGTGTTGAGTGGCGTGGCAACAACTACCACGCCGCTCGTGGTAGCCCCAACAACGGCGACTGGCGCGGCGGTAAGCGCACCGGTGGTGGGCGGTTGCATATGAAATGCACAATCTGACAGCAGCAGCAACTATGTGTACCATCAGCGGCAACAGCAACAACCAGCAATACAATATCAATGGCACCATCAACACCAGCAATACATTTACATGGGCAATAATGGCGGCGTTTGAGCGTGCGCGACACTTTGCACTCAATGCGCTGCACCTGTCTCGACGCGCGCGCGGCACTACATAAGCAAGCGCGCGGCGTAAGTTGTCAACAACATTTCCAATTCACACTCGAATATTTTTAGGAATAAGCACCACATATTCGCATACCTAGTTATAATATGTTTATGCATGTCTGACAGACAGCTGAAATTGGTTGTCAGCCGCGCCGCTATGCAGGTGTTAGTGAGCGGCTGTGTTTTTGTTAATTCAATTTTGCTTTATTTCTAATTAGTTTTTACGCACTCAGTTTGTTATATATTTAATGGTTACTGTTTTATTTTGTTATTTAAAAAAAGTTAAAAATATTCTCATTGTAACTTGTTTGTATAGACTTATAAGTATCAATTAGCAATTAACGATTACCGATTGTCTATTACCCATCACCAAGTAATTTATGTAGTATATACTCGTATGTATATAATCTAGTATATAATTTTGTGTGTTGCAAGTAAAAACAAAACGGATCATACACGAAGTACTCATTACCAGCAATAGTTTCCTGTTATTTTTTTACAATGTTGTTAGTTTTAATTATTCATATAGTATATTAGATTTAGTGATCACTGGCGAGTTAACGCTTTATTGTTTCAAACCGTACAAAAGTGGCATAAAAATCGAACTAGTCAGTTTAGAGTCATTTGGCTCCATATAACTGTAATTGTACGGTTTAATTTTTCACTCAAAGAATGTTGATATTAAAGAACTTAAAGTTCCAGTGCTTTCCAAAGAGTTAATGTCTTTATTTTCAAAAAAAAAAACTCAATAAAGGATTAGCTTCTTGGATTTAGTAAGTGGCAAAGCGTCAAGCATCAACGCTAATGTGACGCAAACAAAACAGCTGATTGCTCGAACTCTTCAAGAACATAACACTGCTGAGATTTATTAAACTATCGGCGAGTGAAATAAATCACTTTAAGGAGTGGCCACAGATCACAAAACTAAAAGTTTCGAATTTTTTTTTTTTTTTGTATTAAAAAATTTTTGTTAATATTTTTCTTGATTAATTCTAAAAAATATTTGTTATTTTTTTTTTTTTTTTTTTTTATTTATTTTTTTTTTTTTTTTTTTTTTTTTTTTTTTTTTTTTTTTTTTATCATTTTCGTTTCTTTACCTTTTTTATTGTTTTATTTTCATTTTTTTATATTATATATTTTTTGTATTACTTTTGTAGTATTTTTACTACTTCATTTTTTAATTTTAATCCTTTTAATTTTGGTTCCTTCATATTTTCGTAACAGAAACTCTATTCGATTTCCTCAGTCACCTAACCTCAACACACAAATGAACACAATAGAACAACTTTCAACTTATTACAATAAATAAGGCAACAATTAAAGGTTGATGAACTATTTACAAAAATATTGAAAACAAAAAAAAAGCAAATAGTTTTAAACTAACAACTACAACAATTAGCAGTGAATAAAATAATAAAAATAATAATCGTGTAATTTTTTAAAGTGCAGTAGAACTTRAATGAGTTCTGAGTGGAACTACACTTAAAAATTTACGAAAAAATTAAAAGTAAAATAAAAAATAATATTATATATACACTTTAATATACATGAGGTGTTAGGCTTAATATTGAACATTAAAAAATAAATAAACACTTCAACCATTTAATTTAAAAGAAAAAAAAAATTACTACATTAAGCAACTCTACAAACACTAAACAAAATACACTTGAAAAAATAGAATTACATTAGTTTAGATATTACACATTTAACATTTTTGAACTGTAACATTAGTGTAGTTGTAGTTCACGAAAGTTACGAAAGCGAAAGGTTCATAAATGCGCAACTGCAAAGAGAGCGGCTGATGTACAGTGGCAGTGCTCAGAGCGCGATTTGAAGCGAGAGGCGGGCTGTGTATAAAGAAACTGTTTTTTTGGTGTGTATTCAACAACGGTAAAGAATTAAATAAAAAATTACTGAACTTAGTTATGCAATTTTAACTTTATTGTTCCATTTTTTCAGCAAATGAAATATAAAAAAATAAGAATAAACAAAAAACGACCACAATAACAATACTAAAATAAATATTTGTATATGTTTGTACATACAAAATATACACAAATAAGTAAAACAGAACTCTTTCGCAATTAAAATTATGAAAGAACCTAAACGCAAACTTAAACAATAGAAACAAAAACAAAATCACATTTTAAACGCTACACTTAAAGAAAATTTTCACAATTCTGGACAAAAAGGCGATAGCTTAAGAAAAAAAACTGAAATTCAAAAACCATGAACCAGAAACCGTTAACTAAAATTAATGTTAATAGCAAATGATTTATATAAAGAAAATAAGCTAAATATTCATAAAATCACAAAGGAAATATGAAAGCGATAAGCAAACCAGTACAGTCACGTCCTATTTTTGCAACAACGACTAATTACTAGACAAAACAAAAAAATAAAGCAAAGGCATAAAACAACAATAGCGGTATCATTTATTAAACTAAACGTTTAAAATTATGGCTACACTGAGCAAAACAACCTAGTGTGTATTGAAATTAAGATAAATTCAAATTATTTTTTACAATTTGTAGAATCAACTTCACGTTAATAACATAAAGGCAGTGAAGAAAAGCAATTGCAGTCAAAATAAATTAATTATATATTAAATTACCATAAAAAATTCAAAACAAAATATATAAAATATCTGTCTCTTATACACATCTAGATGTGTATAAGAGACAGTTTCCAAAGAGTTAATGTCTTTATTTTCAAAAAAAAAAACTCAATAAAGGATTAGCTTCTTGGATTTAGTAAGTGGCAAAGCGTCAAGCATCAACGCTAATGTGACGCAAACAAAACAGCTGATTGCTCGAACTCTTCAAGAACATAACACTGCT